CCATATTTGGTAGATCTAATGAAATGCAACCGAGTCAAACAATTGCATTGGCATATTCTAAAGTAGAATAATATTTTTAAAAAACAGACTTAAATTACCAACATAATAATATGTTCAGTGATGAAATTCTAATAAAGAAATTCAAAGAGTTACGATCACAACATTATTAGACTATATTACTGTTATATCATTTATTTTTTTACATCAAATCAATAAATTAGATTAATTTTTTAAATCTTAATAGCATTAANAGGAATAGCCACTGTTTTAGATCCACGGTATAAGTTAGAAATTTTGGAGTATTACTATGAAAAAATGTATGGAGGTGTGGAAGTTTTAAATGAAGTGAAGAGGATTAAGGAGCTTTGCTTGGAATTGGAAGGCGAGTATGAATTGAGGCAAGGAAATGATTATGAACCACATCCTTTTCCTCCCCCTCTTCAATCAGATATTGATTCTAAATGTCCATTAATTGATGATCTCTCTGATTTTGATAAGTTTATACAAACAAGAGGCATAACAAAAGCATGTGGGAGATCTGAGTTGGATCGTTACTTAGAAGATGGTATGATGCCAAGAAGTTTAGATTTTGATATACTATCTTTTTGGAAAACAAGTAGTCTCAAGTATCCTCTGCTTCAAATGATTGCTAAAGATCTTTTTACTATTCTTGTTTCTACCATTGCCTTGGAATCTGTTTTTAGTACAAGTGGGAGGGTGATCAGTCCACATTGCAATAGACTTCTTCCAATTACAGTAGAGACTTTAATGTGCTCTCAAAGTTGGTTATGTGCTAGAAAACGAGGTAATTAAATATTATTTGTATGTGCATCATTATTTTTTTTTGGGGGTGGGTAAAGTATGACTAATACATTATTTGTTTTTTTTGTTAGGTTCATCTACTTTGACGGGCCTGAAGAACTACACATTATTGGGGGATCTTAATATTGATGATGAGGTATATCTTTTTAGTTGAAAATTTCTCTTTGGAAGAATCTAATTTTTTTTTTCTTTTAATGATATAGAAAAATGATGTTGAAGAGGTAGATTCTACCACCACCGATGGTGTTAAGTGATGATTGAGTTGGTGTGAAACTGGTGTTAAGAGATGTTGAGTTGAGTAAGATGATTTTACCACCCGTTATGTTATTTGTGTTATGTTGTGTAATGTTAAATTTTATCAAATTTAAGTAGTATTTTGGACATTTGTGATTTTTGTTATGTTCGAATATGTTATGTTACGTTAGATGATTTAGAATGTTGTTAGATTATTTAGAATTTTAGATTATATGGGTTTGAACTTGGGCTTAGGTTTAAGTTTGGGTTTGGGCTTATGCTTGGGTTTGGGCGTACCCGCTTAAGTAAAATATTTTCATATTATTTCTTTCAATATTAATTTAGGTCTACCCCTACCTACTCCTAGTATCATTCAAAAACATTTTATTATTTTTTCTAACATGTGTCTCTATCAACCTCCGTTGAATATGATAACACAAGAAGACTATAACAAATACACAGTGACAATTGAACACTGTCTATTTGTCACTGTACAAGTCATTATACATTTTTTTTTTAGCAGCCATTGTACATTAAAAAGGTAGTTTTGTAATTAAAAATTTTAAAAACTATACCTTAAAAGTTTTGTACTTTTTTCAAACTTACATCATCGTGTTGTTGATTTTTTTGAGATTTTACTTGTCTATAGGCACATTTTCAACCGTTGGCTTTCGTCGCATTGGATTGGATTTGACTGTCCAATCCAATTCGCTTATAAATGCACTTATTATATTGAAAATACATAGAAATCTCTCTAGTCCCATATTTGGTAGATCTAATGAAATGCAACCGAGTCAAACAAAGTAGAATAATATTTTAAAAAAACTGACTTAAATTATCAACATAATAATATGTTCAGTGATGAAATTCTAATAAAGAAATTCAAGAGTTACGATCACAACATTATTAGACTATATTACTGTTATATCATTTATTTTTTTACATCAAATCAATAAATTAGATTAATTTTTTAAATCTTAATAGCATTAAAATAAAACTACTGCTTGGCTGGTTTGTCCTCACAAAGACTTTGACCAAAGCAAGTCAACTTTGAAACATATTGCTTTCCAACTTGCAAATAGTTGACAATAATGAGGATTGACGACACAATTCTGAACTCCATCCAAGATTTCGTCTAGACTATGACAGTATCAGTGGTACTGCTTTGTACCACTTGCCATTTTTCAATGAATGAAAATCTTCGTGAGAAAGCATTTCCAATGGTTGGATTTAAATTTTATGTAGTCAAGGAAACTAAAACTTCAAGAGATAGAAAATTTTATGTACCAACTCGAATTGATAAAGACTTAGTAGCTAACACAGAAAAGTTTTATCAAACGACAAATATCAATATAAAAAGACTCATGGAGCTCTCATGTAACTCAGTCCTATCAATTTAGTTCAGAATGGGACAGATTTTTTCAGGAACCCTCCATTCCACTAGAAACTGTGTTTGATATACGTAATATAATTATATTCACATATATGTGTTAGTCTTGGTCATGCTATCACCTCCCCTGGAGGTTGTGAGGTATATCATGTGACTTGTGCTGCTAGTAACTATTTACTTGTGGATTTGATATAGAATAAGTTCAGGATTTCCATGCACTTGAGAAGTTTGGTAATGAGGCAATTCGAAGGACCCTCCACTGCCATATATAATATTTCAAGTTCATAAAGTATTTCAAGACCGTTTACTTATTGGTGGTGTCTTGGTGCTTCCACCAAGTGCCTTCATGCTTGACTTAGAAAGATGAAAAGCACTTCCCCTTTTGCATATATGTACCACCATCTACTCCACTGTCATGCACAACGTTAATGCAAGCTAGCAAAAGAAACCATGCCAATCACTTATTATTATCTTCTTCTTCTTCTTCTCTTACTCTACTTATTTACTCTCTATATTTCCCTTGAAGCCCATAGATCCGATTCCAATGTGTTTTGCAAAGAGATGGAAAGGAAGGCACTTCTTAAATTCAAAGAACGTCTTACAGATCCTTCCAATCGACTTTCTTCCTGGGTCGATGAAGATTGTTGCAAATGGATGGGGGTAGAATGCAGCAACCGAACAGGCAGTGTCATCCACCTCGACCTTAAAAACAATGATTGTTACAAAGAAAGCATAAATATTGAAGCAGGCTCTCATATTTCATCGTGTTTGGGCGGTGAGATAAGTAGTTCTTTGCTTGATTTAAACCATTTGGATTACTTAGACCTGAGCATGAATAATTTCCAAGGAATCCCAATCCCAAGCTTCTTGGGCTCACTTGAGAAGTTGACTNGTTTACGTCTAACTTTTTGTTCGGCAAAATCAACTCGAATTGATAAAGACTTAGTAGCTAACATAGAAAAGTTTTATCAAACGACAAATATCAATATAAAAAGACTCATGGAGCTCTCATGNTTACGTTAGATGATTTAGAATGTTGTTAGATTATTTAGAATTTTAGATTATATGGGTTTGAACTTGGGCTTAGGTTTAAGTTTGGGTTTGGGCTTATGCTTGGGTTTGGGCGTACCCGCTTAAGTAAAATATTTTCATATTATTTCTTTCAATATTAATTTAGGTCTACCCCTACCTACTCCTAGTATCATTCAAAAACATTTTATTATTTTTTCTAACATGTGTCTCTATCAACCTCCGTTGAATATGATAACACAAGAAGACTATAACAAATACACAGTGACAATTGAACACTGTCTATTTGTCACTGTACAAGTCATTATACATTTTTTTTTTAGCAGCCATTGTACATTAAAAAGGTAGTTTTGTAATTAAAAATTTTAAAAACTATACCTTAAAAGTTTTGTACTTTTTTCAAACTTACATCATCGTGTTGTTGATTTTTTTGAGATTTTACTTGTCTATAGGCACATTTTCAACCGTTGGCTTTCGTCGCATTGGATTGGATTTGACTGTCCAATCCAATTCGCTTATAAATGCACTTATTATATTGAAAATACATAGAAATCTCTCTAGTCCCATATTTGGTAGATCTAATGAAATGCAACCGAGTCAAACAAAGTAGAATAATATTTTAAAAAAACTGACTTAAATTATCAACATAATAATATGTTCAGTGATGAAATTCTAATAAAGAAATTCAAGAGTTACGATCACAACATTATTAGACTATATTACTGTTATATCATTTATTTTTTTACATCAAATCAATAAATTAGATTAATTTTTTAAATCTTAATAGCATTAAAATAAAACTACTGCTTGGCTGGTTTGTCCTCACAAAGACTTTGACCAAAGCAAGTCAACTTTGAAACATATTGCTTTCCAACTTGCAAATAGTTGACAATAATGAGGATTGACGACACAATTCTGAACTCCATCCAAGATTTCGTCTAGACTATGACAGTATCAGTGGTACTGCTTTGTACCACTTGCCATTTTTCAATGAATGAAAATCTTCGTGAGAAAGCATTTCCAATGGTTGGATTTAAATTTTATGTAGTCAAGGAAACTAAAACTTCAAGAGATAGAAAATTTTATGTACCAACTCGAATTGATAAAGACTTAGTAGCTAACACAGAAAAGTTTTATCAAACGACAAATATCAATATAAAAAGACTCATGGAGCTCTCATGTAACTCAGTCCTATCAATTTAGTTCAGAATGGGACAGATTTTTTCAGGAACCCTCCATTCCACTAGAAACTGTGTTTGATATACGTAATATAATTATATTCACATATATGTGTTAGTCTTGGTCATGCTATCACCTCCCCTGGAGGTTGTGAGGTATATCATGTGACTTGTGCTGCTAGTAACTATTTACTTGTGGATTTGATATAGAATAAGTTCAGGATTTCCATGCACTTGAGAAGTTTGGTAATGAGGCAATTCGAAGGACCCTCCACTGCCATATATAATATTTCAAGTTCATAAAGTATTTCAAGACCGTTTACTTATTGGTGGTGTCTTGGTGCTTCCACCAAGTGCCTTCATGCTTGACTTAGAAAGATGAAAAGCACTTCCCCTTTTGCATATATGTACCACCATCTACTCCACTGTCATGCACAACGTTAATGCAAGCTAGCAAAAGAAACCATGCCAATCACTTATTATTATCTTCTTCTTCTTCTCTTACTCTACTTATTTACTCTCTATATTTCCCTTGAAGCCCATAGATCCGATTCCAATGTGTTTTGCAAAGAGATGGAAAGGAAGGCACTTCTTAAATTCAAAGAACGTCTTACAGATCCTTCCAATCGACTTTCTTCCTGGGTCGATGAAGATTGTTGCAAATGGATGGGGGTAGAATGCAGCAACCGAACAGGCAGTGTCATCCACCTCGACCTTAAAAACAATGATTGTTACAAAGAAAGCATAAATATTGAAGCAGGCCCTCATATTTCTTCGTGTTTGGGCGGTGAGATAAGTAGTTCTTTGCTTGATTTAAACCATTTGGATTACTTAGACCTGAGCATGAATAATTTCCAAGGAATCCCAATCCCAAGCTTCTTGGGCTCACTTGAGAAGTTGACTTACCTTAATCTCTCTTATGCGTCTTTTGGCGAATTGCTTCCTCCTCATCTTGGAAATCTTTCAAACTTGGTTTATCTTGATCTTTACTCGGATCCATATTCCATCCAAAATCCTCAAAGCAGTTGGGTCCAAGATTTACACTGGCTCTCTGGCTTATCTTCTTTGGAACACCTTAATCTCGGATTTGTAAACCTCAGTTTAGCAAGAACTGATTGGCTGCAAACTCTCAACATGCTTTCTTTTCTTTCAGAGTTGCACTTGCCCGGTTGTGACCTTCAAAACTTGCCTGTCTCTCTACCACGTTCGAATTTCACTTCCCTTTTGGTCCTTGACCTTTCTTACAATCATTTTGAAGTTAACTCTTCAATACCTCAGTGGTTGTATAATATCAGTAACCTTGTTGAACTTGATCTTAGTTATTGTGGTATGAAAGGTCCACTTTTCCACATTGCATGGGGAGATCTCTGTAATTTTCAGAAGTTAGCTCTATCCGGTAATGAGATTGGCGGTGAGATAAGCGAAGTGGTAGAGGGTTTGTCTGCCTGCAATAACAGCAGCATAGAAGAGTTACATTTGGGGCTCAGTCAACTAGCTGGGCAGTTGCCAGATTCACTGGGAGACCTCAAGAATTTAAAATCCCTTCAACTTTATTATAACTCACTCTCAGGGCCAATTCCAGCATCAATTGAAAGATTGTTGAATTTGGAAGAATTGGACCTTTCTTACAATGTGATGAATGGGTCCATCCCTGAAGGCCTTGGGAAGCTTACAAAATTAGCTCTTTTAGAGCTTTGCGAGAATCTTTGGGAGGGAGTCCTATCTGAATATCATTTCCAGGGCCTCACAAAACTTGAAGATTTCTCCATATCATCGTCGAACAAGACGTTTCTCTTCAAGGTGAGCAGTGATTGGGTTCCTCCTTTTAGCCTGACAAACATTAGAATCATGAATTGCCCATTGGGTCCAAGATTTCCAGCATGGCTTAGGACTCAGAATCAACTTTCAAATATAGTCCTCACAGATGCTGCCATTTCGGACCCGATTCCTTCTTGGATTTGGAAAATGTCTCCGCAGATTCAATGGTTGGATCTTTCTAATAACGAAATTGGAGGAATACTTCCCGGTTCACTCGAATTCTTCCCACGAACATGGGTAGATTTAAGTTTGAACCGCTTGGAGGGCCAACTCCCACTGTGGTCTAATGTTTCATATCTCATCTTGGAAGATAACTTCTTCTCAGGATCAATACCAGTGAACATTGGTCAAGCAATGGCATCACTGCGATACATTTTTCTTTCAGGCAATTTTCTTAGTGGTAGCATTCCATTGTCCATAGGCAAGATGAAGTTTTTATCAAGACTGGATCTATCNAAAAGAAACCATGCCAATCACTTATTATTATCTTCTTCTTCTTCTCTTACTCTACTTATTTACTCTCTATATTTCCCTTGAAGCCCATAGATCCGATTCCAATGTGTTTTGCAAAGAGATGGAAAGGAAGGCACTTCTTAAATTCAAAGAACGTCTNAAACTCAAAGCAATAGATTTATCCCAGAACAATCTATCTGGTAACATTCCCAACACAATGTGCTCACTGCCCTTGCTTTCATACTTGAAATTGAGTGAAAATAGTCTTTCTGAGGAACTCTCTATTTCACTAAAAAATTGCACGGCCCTGACCCTACTCGATGTAGGAGAGAATAAAATCACTGGGAATGTACCAAAGTGGATTGGAGAAAGCCTTGTATCACTATCAGAATTGCGTATGAGGGCTAACATGTTCACAGGAAGTATTCCCGACCAACTGTGTCGGCTTTCACATCTCCACGTCTTAGATCTCGCACTTAATAATTTATCAGGAACCATTCCACCATGCCTGGGCAATTTGAGTGATCTGAGTTCATCACAATCCTATAGTCCACAACTTCGTCCCGCTCATTCTACATATACACCTCAGCTAGACTTGGTTGTGAAGGGAAGACAAATGAAATATACCTTCACGCTTGAGCTTGTGAATGTCATTGACTTATCAAATAATAGCCTATGGGGAGAGATTCCGGATGAGATTACAAATCTTTCATCTCTAGGTACCTTGAATTTGTCCCAGAACCAATTGACAGGAAAGATACCAGAGAATATTGGAGGTTTACAGAAATTGGAAACTCTTGATCTCTCGTGCAACCATCTTTCTGGCTCAATTCCCGCAAGCATGTCTTCTATAACCTCATTAAGCCATTTGAACTTGTCTCATAATGATTTGTCCGGACCAATTCCATCAACCAACCAGTTCCTAACCTTCAATGATCCATCCATTTATGCGGGTAACCCAGAACTCTGTGGAGATCCTTTATCAACCAAATGTTTCACGCCTAATGGAAGGAAAGGTGAAGACCAAGTTCAGGCCAAAGATCATCACCATGAAGATGAAGATGATGAAGACAAGTATGAAACGTTGTGGTTCTGTGTTAGTATGGGATTGGGATTTATTGTGGGATTTTGGGCTGTTTGTGGTAGTTTGGTGATAAAGAAGACGTGGAGAAATGCCTACTTCCAATTTCTCGACAGTGTGAAAGATTGGCTCTTTCAGGTCATTGTGTCGAGTGTGGCTTGTGTACGAAAAATGGTGGAGAGTGAGAAGAGTCCTCCTGCATAGGTGAACAAAAGTAGAGTTCAGAAAATATTTTCTGGGGTAATACGAGGTTGAGCACTGGAAGGGCCTTAATAAGGGTAGTACTTTGGTTTTGGCTAGTATAATAATGTACCAAGGAATTGCATTATGTCACTGTATTGTAACCAGGTGTAACTTCATCTTTATTTTCCTAATATTTCATCAAACTTCTAAACTCTGCTTTTCACTTTCATTACTCAAAAATCTAATCAAACATAGATGAAGCATCGCACAACTATTTTAATAAAATTTGCAAAAAGGAAGGCAAAGAAAAGAACAGGAACAAAGCTCCCAATGAAAAAGGGGAAGCACCTTACATGCAAATTTCTGAATAAAGAAGAATGCCAAATTAAGGAGACATGCAGAATCTAAATCATGAGTGTAACTGTCGTGTAGTTCTGTATAATTATACAGTAATATGGAAAAAAAATATTCACACGCACACAAGAAAAAAAACTTCAGAAAATCATCACCACATTGTTCAGATTAAGATTCATTAATTTAATGTCCTTACACACCCCCCATATATTAGCTTTTGCTCAGATATACGTGAGCATTCGATCTATGTTGAGAATTTTACTCTAAAACATTATTTATGTTGATGCTAAAATTTGGTTAGCCTGAAGATTACAGATTCCAACCAGACGTGACAAAAATACCTTCCATATGGCCACTGAATCTGGGGCATAGCAACCGAAAAACATACTAAAGACGTACCTTTTTCGAAGGCACCTTGGAGTGCCGGAGTATTGTAAACCAAGCCTACTTCTTAATCTGAGCGCCTTTGCTAGCCAGCAAATNACCAGACGTGACAAAAATACCTTCCATATGGCCACTGAATCTGGGGCATAGCAACCGAAAAACATACTAAAGACATACCTTTTTCGAAGGCACCTTGGAGTGCTGGAGTATTGTAAACCAAGCCTACTTCTTAATCTGAGCGCCTTTGCTAGCCAGCAAATTTGCAGCTTAATTTCCTTGTGTGTTGCTGCTGGCTTCAAGGATCAACGAGCTTTGAGGACCAGATTAACTATAATTTTACATCTACTACCACTAGAATTTTTTGAGTTCATTGTTGACTCTATCATTCAGTAGGCATACATTAAAACCCAATCTGTAGCAAATACAAAGTAATTGGATTGCTGGAACAGTCATGTTAACGGATGCTTGCTCCAAATGGAGCACATCATTTGTCATTGTTTTCACCCGTAAACTGTACACTCTGCTTAAATTAGACAATGCTTCTTGAAGTTAAAGGGGTGAATAGAACTAGTTTGTATTGACCCAATAGTGACAATATAATACAACATAATAATATTTACAAACCGAGCCTCTTAGGTCTTAGGTAAGTAGAAGCGCCTTGTCGCAAACCTGGCATCGAGACTGGCTGCTGTTGCTTTGCCCTCTTCTGCCTCTCCTTTTCCTTGCTCCGTCTCTCCTCCTCTGCTTGGACCATCCTCAAACTCTCCATCTCCTCCTCCATGGCTGTTTTCTCTTCCTTTTGTTTCTTTTTATGCTCCAACATTGATGTATCTGAATCCTTAACCGAAAAAAACATGGGACCTAACTCGGCCAACCACTGGGGCTCCACCGCAGTTGCACACTGCATGTACTCCTTGGTTGTCAAAATCAACTCATGATAAACCACATAATCTGGAGTGTAACCCAAACCATACAAAGCACTGCTTGGATGCAAGTGGCATGGCATTCCATTCCTACAATTAACATACTCCCCAACCCCTTTAAGTCTTGCAGAGTTATGGAAGTATGCCGAACAAATGGCTTTTCTAACAACGTCCCAATCAAAACCACAAGAAGTGAGCGGAATTTTCAGGGTCTTGAGGATATCCAGTAATTGGGATCTCACCTCTCTAGCCTTGCGCAGCCCTTTGACATGCAGAAAATGATCGTTACACCAGTCTCCACGGTACTGATTAGATTTCCATTGCTGGTAAACATTAAGCAGCGTTAGGTGGTCAGATTCAGGCACAAAAAATTTCTCCCTTGCAGCATCACTCTCCTCTGCCCTATCTTTTGGCCTAAAGAAAACCGAGGGAACCGAAAGCATTGACACAATTGTCAGAACCTCATTTATGCATCCTAGCTGTTCTCCAATCAAGAGCATCTTCGCCAGGGGTGGGTCCAGCGGGAACTCAACCATTTTCCAACCAAGGTCCGTCAGATTTCCAACATTGTTAAGGGCACCCAAGACCCACAACTGGTACATAGAATTAAGGATGTTTTCCTGAGGAGGTGGGTCCATGAAATCAAAATCCAATAGGTTATCGATTTTGAGAGACTTGAGCAATAAAACCACATTGCCAAGATTGGTCCTCTGAATTTCCGGTACAGGACTGGGCAGCAACTCATTGTCGTACGCACTCTGAGTATAAAGGCGGTAACAAGTGCCAGGCCCAGTTCTTCCTGCACGCCCAGCACGTTGTTCAGCAGCAGCTTGGCTAACAGGGAACACTTGCAGAGCGTCCATACCCATCCGCGGGTTGTACACCTTCATTTTACAATAACCTGAGTCAATTACGTAGAAGATTCCATCCACAGTCAAAGATGTCTCAGCAATATTAGTAGCTACGATACATTTGCGGGCCCCATCTTCAGCATTCTGGAATATTTTTGCTTGCAAGTCAGCTGGAAGCTGGGAGTATATAGGAAGAATCAACAGCTTAGAGACAGCTTGCTTTGCTGAGGAAATGAGTTGTTCCATGCGTTCTGCAAGGGCATAACAGGTTGCCTCAATCTCATCTTGACCGGTCATGAAGATTAGTATGTCACCCGGGCCACTAGTGATGTGGATGGTCATAGCCTGCTTCACCGCAGCTTCAACATAATCTTCACATGGAGTTTTACTGAACAGCTTGTCCACATGAAAGGTTCTTCCAGGGATGTGGAAAATTGGTACACTGCAGTAAAGTCAACAATCAATTTCATAAAATAAAAATATGCACGCAAATGATGCATATGATCTGGATGTTTAACAAAAATAATGTTTACCTTCCAAAAAAATTTGAGAATTTGTCAGCATTTAGAGTGGCAGACGTCACAATAAGCTTGAAATCACGACGTCGGGCAACAACTTTCTTAAGGATCCCAAAAAGCACATCTGTGCTCAGTGATCTCTCATGTGCTTCATCCATTACAATAACACTGCACAAGTAAAGTATTAACGCTAACCGACTCCTGCCCAAATTATGCACAAGACTCTGACACCTAATGCTGAACATAGATTATATATGCATCCTTAAAGTTCGAATTTGAACAACTAATGAATGAAAGACATACCGATATTTGTCAAGATCAGAATCTTTCAGTGTCTCCCGTAGTAGTACGCCATCAGTCATGTACTGCAAGCAAAAGAGAAGGGGAAAATCAAATACTTAAGATGGACTAAATACAAGAAAAATCAGTCCTAACCTTAAGTATGCCAATGTACACGAGAACAACTATCCATACTGGAAAAACTAAAAGGCAGTATTATCAAAGTTCTATTCTATTACATATTAATCGAAGGAATTTCTTAAAAAAATTCTCACAATCTTAAGACAACTAGCACGAGTCTGGACACCCATGCCCAAATGTCCCCATGATCATATTAAACTACTAATTACCTTAATAACAGTGCTTGGGCCAGTGACGTCCTCAAAACGAATGGCATACCCAACCTTATCGCCAAGCTCAGTTTCCATCTCTTCGCTAACTCTTTTGGCAACACTCATGGCTGCTACACGCCTTGGTTGAGTGCAACCCACGACACCATTTGTTGTATAGCCATCCTCATGCAGATACTGCCAAAATCCTCAATAGATCATATAACCGATGATGACATATTTAACCCTATAAGATATTGAATTAAAATAATCCCTGGGTGGTTAAAAAAAAGTGTCCGCACAAACCTGGGTTAATTGTGTTGTCTTTCCAGAACCTGTTTCTCCAACAACCACCAAAACCTGGTTTTCACGAATTACCTATTACATGGGAAGTTGAAACTAAATTAGAATACAGCTTTCACAATGGATTGGTTTCATGTCCCTCCTATTGATTTTTATTTACATAATGTAGATTTTACCAACAGAAACTAAAGATAAGGTTGAACTGTTCAAATAGCCCAATAAACAACAGAAAAGTACCTAGAAACCATTACTGATGCCAATGCATCAAATAAGGGCACAAAAGGACCATACAAACCAACGTTGTCTATAATAGCAAGAAGGATCGCAGTCATACCGCTATTCTAAAAAATTGAGAAGACTACACACCACTAGACCCCAGAAGTACATATAGACTTGACACTCACTATTTAGCAAATAGCAACATATAATTAAACAAAGTCATAGATCAGGGTAATGACAGACACCAATTGGTTCCAAAAAATCAAACTTCCAGACTACAAACCTCAAAAAAGTGAGAAATGATAATCATAAGAGTGAAAAAAACACAACAACAACAACAATAAATAATAAGATAATAACAATATATATATATATATAATGATAACAATTATAATAACAATAACATAACGAATAATAATACCCCAGACACCTGCACAAAAGAAAGAAAATGAAGATAAAATTTCACAAGCTATCAAAAGAGTTAGAATAAGTTTTTTCCATTAACAATAATTAAATTGATTGTGGTCACCGGACAGAGAATTTTCAATATTGTAAAATGAGGAACTCATAGATTGCACCAATTAAGCAGCACACTAATAAGTCAATTTGTAAGCCATCATTCACCGAATAATCAACTGACATACAGAAGGCAAATTTCAAACCTGCAATAACTCATCCCGAACAGAAAATATAGGCAGATACTGCCGTTGTTGTGCTAGTGTTTTTGACTTCGCAAAATCACTCACTGCTTCCCCCTTCGTTAAGTGCTGAGAAAACTTGGCCTCTTCTTTGAAATTAACTTCGCCATCTTCACCCACCACAGCTGTATCTGCATCAATCTAGCATTAACAAAAAAGCTTCNGCTCACTGCTTCCCCCTTCGTTAAGTGCTGAGAAAACTTGGCCTCTTCTTTGAAATTAACTTCACCATCTTCACCCACCACAGCTGTATCTGCATCAATCTAGCATTAACAAAAAAGCTTCAGATCCATGCACATAACAGGTCCAATTAAATTATCAAAACCTTCAATCCTGTTCAGTAGTTGGAAACATCGTACCTGTTCTGCTGTCTTCTCAACCCCAAGGATATCACCAAGTTTTGAGCCAGCGAGCTCCCAAAAGCGTTGACGTGACTTGTTCATGCTTTGTTTTTCATGAATTTCCCGTACCAAGGCAGATCCTTTTCGTGATATTATAGCCATGTCTGATGTGGAATCTTTTATTGGCATTATTGGTTCTGCTTGCTTTGTGAAAACAATCCTCCCATCCAGGAAAGGGGGCTTCGTATCTGTGGCAAGGAATATTAGGAAACTTTACGTGAAAAATAAAATGGCGGGGGTCATAAAGCACATCATATTTGCATTGAGAAAGTTACTAGCTTTCATACCATGAACAAGAAGAATAACTTTCCGTTCTTCCTCGTTATCAAATTCAGTCTGTACCTCGGTACCTCTAACAGCTCCAGATCTAAGAAGTTGCCGGTCCTCCCATTGAGCATTATCCGCAGTGAGTTGTGATAACTTTTTGCTCTGAGCAAGTGTCATCTTGGTTCCATCCCTTCGAACCTGTAGTTTAGAAAAATAATTTGCTGAACAAAGCGTAGAAATGCAACATAATTTACTCGAACTGAAATCAACCATAATACAATTATTCTAGATAAGAAACAGGTTTCTATTTTTTTGATAAGAAACAACAATTTATTGATAACTAACAAGTCAAATCAATGGTGGAGAAGATGTCCAACACAACATTGAAAAAAGACAACAAAATCGAAAAGGCCAAATTACAAGCCACAATAGGCTTTCCGGCTTAGCTCTAATGCAAAAGTGAGGAATATCATCAACTTATTTTGTCGTTGAAATCCAAAAAGAAGCCAAGAAATTAAGTTTTTTCCATAATCCCTCCACTTCTTCACATTTATCCTAAAAAACATTCTTACATTCCTTTCTTTCTAAATCACCCATAATGTAGCAAAGAAAGCATTATGCCAAAGAATCTTCGAGTTCCTATTTCCCTCAAAAACCTCATTATTTAACAAAACATAGAAATTATATCCCTTAATACAGCCCAAGAAAAATTCGTAAGGTCAAAAAACTTATTCCAAAGAATTCGTGTCAAAGGACACTACAAAAATAAGCGATCCACACTCTCATAATCACCTCTACACAACACACCATTATGGTTGAAGACAAAAATTGGTTTCCTCTTTTGAAGGACCTCATTTGTACTCACTTTACCATGAGCAATAAAAGCACTTTACTCTTCCAATCTTCGGTGATGGATCGAAAGAAGGAAGTAAAGGATCATCGATTAAAGACTCATGAAGATTTACAAGAAAAAATACATGTTCGATCATCAATCTAATACCTCCTATCCTCCAAAACATAGGAACAAGACTCATCAAATTTGAACATTCCCTATCATTAAAGCTCCTACAAAAATCAAAGTCCTAAGAAATTGGCTGAGAATATGACTAAACCATTGATGCAACCCAAGCACCCTAATAAGAAAAGACTCGATACAGTCGAGGGAAAAGACTAGAAAGAGAAGACTCACCCACCAACTTATCCTCCCAAAACTGCATTCTACTTCTATTACCAATAGTAAACTTAACCATTTGAGAAAAGCAAAGGTAATCCCTGAAACATGAACTTCTAAGGACTCTGAAAATTACCCCTTTCAACCCATTAACATCTCATCCATTAGACTGTAACTCATACTTGCTCCTAATAACGACAAGCCACAATCAATCTTGTTCCAAAGGGAACCCGCAAAACCATTTTCCAACCAAAGCTACATTCCTCTTCACTAAATTTTCTATTGAAAGTCCCCCCTTATTTTTTGTCATGCTCACCACCTCCCAACGAATCAAATGGTCCTACCTTCCCTCTCCCACCCTTACCCATAAGAAATCTCTCATCAGACATTCAACTTCTTTAGTCATCCAACCAAACATTCTAAAAAAAGACATGAAATATATCGGTATACTAGACAAAACAGACTGAATCAATGTTAATCTACCTCCCCCAGAAATACAAGATTTCTTCCAACCATCTAATCTCGTACCTACTTTCTCAACCATAAGGTCCCTAAAAGTTCTAGACAATAGGTTACCACCCNAAGGTCAAAAAACTTATTCCAAAGAATTCGTGTCAAAGGGCACTACAAAAATAAGCGATCCACACTCTCATAATCACCTCTACACAATACACCATTATGGTTGAAGACAAAAATTGGTTTCCTCTTTTGAAGGACCTCATTTGTACTCACTTTACCATGAGCAATAAAGGCAATTTACTCTTCCAATCTTCGGTGATGGATCGAAAGAAGGAAGTAAAGGATCATCGATTAAAGACTCATGAAGATTTACAAGAAAAAATACATGTTCGATCATCAATCTAATACCTCCTATCCTCCAAAACATAGGAACAAGACTCATCAAATTTGAACATTCCCTATCATTAAAGCTCCTACAAAAATCAAAGTCCTAAGAAATTGGCTGAGAATATGACTAAACCATTGATGCAACCCAAGCACCCTAATAAGAAAAGACTCGATACAGTCGAGGGAAAAGACTAGAAAGAGAAGACTCACCCACCAACTTATCCTCCCAAAACTGCATTCTACTTCTATTACCAATAGTAAACTTAACCATTTGAGAAAAGCAAAGGTAATCCCTGAAACATGAACTTCTAAGGACTCTGAAAATTACCCCTTTCAACCCATTAACATCTCATCCATTAGACTGTAACTCATACTTGCTCCTAATAACGACAAGCCACAATCAATCTTGTTCCAAAGGGAACCCGCAAAACCATTTTCCAACCAAAGCTACATTCCTCTTCACTAAATTTTCTATTGAAAGTCCCCCCTTATTTTTTGTCATGCTCACCACCTCCCAACGAATCAAATGGTCCTACCTTCCCTCTCCCACCCTTACCCATAAGAAATCTCTCATCAGACATTCAACTTCTTTAGTCATCCAACCAAACATTCTAAAAAAAGACATGAAATATATCGGTATACTAGACAAAACAGACTGAATCAATGTTAATCTACCTCCCCCAGAAATACAAGATTTCTTCCAACCATCTAATCTCGTACCTACTTTCTCAACCATAAGGTCCCTAAAAGTTCTAGACAATAGGTTACCACCCAAAAGAAGTCCCAAGTATCTCAATGGCCATTCACCCACTGTACATCCCATCTCTTGTGCCATTCTCTCCACCTTCTCTTACTAGAATTGATGTCCACAATAACACTCTTTTCCATATTAACCTTGAGTCTAGATATTAAACCAAACACATCAACAATCATCTTTGAATTCCTTATTTTCTGTTCATCCCCTTAAGAAANACCTCCTATCCTCCAAAACATAGGAACAAGACTCATCAAATTTGAACATTCCCTATCATTAAAGCTCCTACAAAAATCAAAGTCCTAAGAAATTGGCTGAGAATATGACCAAACCATTGATGCAACCCAAGCACCCTAATAAGAAGAGACTCGATACAGTCGAGGGAAAAGACTAGAAAGAGAAGACTCACCCACCAACTTATCCTCCCAAAACTGCATTCTACTTCTATTACCAATAGTAAACTTAACCATTTGAGAAAAGCAAAGGTAATCCCAGAAACATGAACTTCTAAGGACTCTGAAAATTACCCCTTTCAACCCATTAACATCTCATCCATTAGACTGTAACTCATACTTGCTCCTAATAACGACAAGCCACAATCAATCTTGTTCCAAAGGGAACCCGCAAAACCATTTTCCAACCAAAGCTACATTCCTCTTCACTAAATTTTCTATTGAAAGTCCCCCCTTATTTTTTGTCATGCTCACCACCTCCCAACGAATCAAATGGTCCTACCTTCCCTCTCCCACCCCTACCCATAAAAAATCTCTCATCAGACATTCAACTTCTTTAGTCATCCAACCAAACATTCTAAAAAAAGACATGAAATATATCGGAATACTAGACAAAACAGACTGAATCAATGTTAATCTACCTCCCCCAGAAATACAAGATTTCTTCCAACCATCTAATCTAGTACCTACTTTCTCAACCATAAGGTCCCTAAAAGTTCTAGACAATAGGTTACCACCCAAAAGAAGTCCCAAGTATCTCAATGGCCATTCACCCACTGTACATCCCATCTCTTGTGCCATTCTCTCCACCTTCTCTTACTAGATTTGATGTCCACAATAACACTCTTTTCCATATTAACCTTGAGTCTAGATATTAAACCAAACACATCAACAATCATCTTTGAATTCCTTATTTTCTGTTCATCCCCTTAAGAAAGGAATATAGTGTCAAACCGTAACCTCTCCGTCCCTATAACAAACTCATCCACCAAATTACATCTCTCTATCCTCTATGTCAATCTTTTGAAACCATCTACCACCAAAGTAAACGAGAAAAGGGATGGAGGTTCCACTTGTTTGAGCGCCCAGAAAGTCTTGAATCTACCCCTAGCTTTCCCATTCATAATGACCAAAAAATTCACCAATTCTACACGCCCCTTAATCCACTTTCTCCATCTCTCACCAAAGCCCTTTCCTTCCAACATAGTTTCCAAAAAATCTCAATTCACATAATCATAAGTTTTTTCAAAATCAATCTTCAACACAACACCATCGTCCCTCTTCCCACTTTACGCTTCAACAATCTCATTAGCAACAAGTACCACATCCACAATATGTCTCCGTCTCATAAAAGCACCTTGATCTTTTGAAATTGTGTCACCCAAACACTCTCTTAACCTTATAGAAAGAACCAAGTTTTTGATTAAATCCACTAAAGGCAAATGAATGAAAGATCAATGTAGTTAAAAACAAAATAAGAGCACATATACATGCCAAGTTTTCAGAGTAGGCGTTTTTTTGGACACCCTCGAACATTTGAACAACACATAATGCATGTGTCTTTGGACCTGGGCAATCTATTTATTTTTACCATTTCTCTAATTTTTAAAGTGACACGAGTGGGAAAGACTGTGAGAAAACTAATTTCATTTGTTAATATCAAATACTAGCTAAAACCTCTACTAAGAGTAAATGCAAACATAATAGAATAGTAAACCCATACTTCGTTCACATTATGTTTGCGAGCATAATTGCAAAGCTTAGTAGAACGTGAGACTTTGAGATGTGTTTCGTACAAGGTGTTACTCAAAGATTTTTTGCAGGTATATAAACCGATAATCTAAGTAGACAGGTAAGGTCAGTTTGGCAGCATCTACCAAATTTATTCTTAGAAAATGCTAAAATTTTGAGAACATGGTATTTTCTCCAACATTTCTGTAGTTGACTCTTCTGTTTGGGGGAAAAGGAAAAGGACATTATTGATGTTTACTAAAACTAGTCCTTTTCAACTCTTTTCTGAAAATAGTACTTGGGAACACGGCTAAATAGAATTTCAACCATATTTTCTATTTCTGTAACTGTAAGAAAAAAATTTTTTATTAAAATTATGTTCTTAGACTGCATATCCCAGTGTTGTGAAAAGCTCGCCTAGCCCATAAGTGAGAAGAGGCGAGGGTCTGTTGCTTTGAGNAAAAAATCATTAAATAATATTACCATGCACGGTCAGAATTGTATTCCATCTCCAAACGCATACTTTCAGTTATCTCTTGATTGTGGCCTTTAGACAGATAACTTGTGCTATCTTNCCCATAAGTGAGAAGAGGCGAGGGTCTGTTGCTTTGAGTACCCCAAGCGAAGCGAATATGGCTTAGGCGAGGAAAAAGTGAGAAAAACGATCGTCTGTCGCTCAAGCTAAAGGCGAGAAAAGTGACACATTTGTTAAGTTTTTTAAATTGTTTTATTTTTTTATTATGGACCATTAGATTATTTTATTTTTGTTATAGATCGTTGGATTGGGGCAATTGGAACTAAATTATGAGATACCCGTACACCCAATTGCCCCCTTATCCCAATATATACAACCCAAATCCTAAATTTGCGGTAGAAGCTATCCAAGGTATTTTTCTTTTCTCTCCTTCTCCTCTTCTTTCCTTCCATCTGTTTCTACCGTGCTACTGCTGCTTTTGTTTCTACTTCGAAAACCAAGGTATGTTCTTTTCTTTTGCTTCTATCTTCTTCTTCGACAGCCAGTATGTTCTTTTGCTTATGGTTCTGCTGCTTCTACAGTTCTATTGTTGATTCTGTACTACTTCTAATTTTCTGTTGATTCTGTTTCTACTTATACTTCTAATTTTATGTTGATTTTGTTTCTGTTGTTTCTAATTCTATTTCTGCTGCTGCTTATGATTCTGTTTCTTCTGTTTTTTGCTTTTGTTTTTGCTTATTCTGTTTGTGTTTTTGTTCTCTACTGCTTCTGCTTATGCTTCTCTGATTCTTTGATTTTTCTTCGCTGCTTCTCTGATAGTAGTGTAACTATGATAGTTAGTTGATTAATATGTTTTATTACTAAGTTTTTTGTCCTTTGATTGTAGCGTGATAGTGTCATTCATAAACATATAAATGCATATTCATAAAATTAGAACTTGGATATTTAGAAGTAATTAAACTAAAATATTTGCTTTTTTTTTACTGTGCACTTCACTTCGATGAAGCGTTTCATTTCGCCTCTCGCTTCTCGCCTAAGCCTCAGGAGCCTTGGTCACTTCGGTTCGCTTTACGCCTTAAATAACACTGGCATATCCAATAGTACTTCAATAGATTACCCAGCTAGCAACAAAGTTAGCTAATCCTACTTGTCTATCAAATGAGAACTGGGTGTAAAAGACATCCTGCATTCTTTTTTTTTTTCCTCAGATCTCATAGGCAAATTGAAATCTTGTAAACCTGAAACAACGGTTTTTATCACTTCAAGCATGAATTGTCACCAAGGTAGAAACAATGTGTGGAAGTTCCAAACAAACTCAAGAGTATGGTGCAGGAATCTTCTTAAGTTCAATTCCAGTATAACTCAATCAAAAAGAACTGCAACAAGCAAATACTAGCACAAGAATGTGCAACTTCAGGCTTATCCTCACCTAGAAGTGATAAGTAGCACTGGCAATCACCATAACTACATATATTTTGCGAGTATACTACTGTAACGAAACAACATATTAGATACTGCACAACATACCAGTTTTTTGGCCAATTCTGCCTCTTTCTTTTGCATCGAAGCCTCATCGCCAAGAAAAAATGATGAGCTATCCACATCGAACATCGTATTTCCTTCTTCTCTATCATACCTGCATAATGACAATGTCGATGAGAAAGAAGCAATATTTTGTATTCCGAGACACTAGCAAAATCATACACCAATAGAGGGCCAAGGATGACAAAAATAGCAATGCCTCAGGAGCTGATGAATGGCTAGGTCAAATGTCAGTGTTGGCAACCCAAAATACAAACATTAGATAAGTCAAATAGTGTCAAAAAAAAAGCTTCAGGAACTTCACTCTTCTGATAATAACGAACTTAGTTTTGTTGTCTTAGCAAAGGTGACTCTGCAATTTTCTTCTTCATTTCTCTCTTCCTTTAGAAGAAAAAAAAATGATGTCTTGATTTTATAAACTCAGATCACCTGGGAATCTAGTTCAGANCTCATCTCTCTCTTCCTTTAGAAGAAAAAAAAAATGATGTCTTGATTTTATAAACTCAGATCACCTGGGAATCTAGTTCAGACAGCACCATCATACCACCACTTATTTATAGATTCTATTACTTAAAATCTTATTTCTCTTCTCTTACAAACTCTAACAAAATGATAATATGTTGGAGACAAAGAACCAAACCTGTTCTCTCTGGAAAACTAAACCAAATGGCCGAACAAAATAACTGGGGCATACAAGAACGGAAGAGCAATATAGAGGAGGGGGGGAGAGAGAGAGAGCTGAGTTGGGAAAAGCGATAAGTATAATTTGTCCTTGGAAGATTTTTTTTTGGGAGTGGCAATCACACAACTAATTTCTTCACAGAATTCAAAGGGATTCCTGAAAACCTTTCCCAAATCAGAAAGCTAAAACATGATCAAGGCAATCAGATGATGTTGGTAGATTTTATCATGTCTAGGCCTCTTCATTCTTCAGGAATCACACATCATATAATGGCAAGCATATATACCCTGTCAAAAAAGAACTAACTAATTTAAGAATGTAGGAAAAAAATCATTAAATAATATTACCATGCACGGTCAGAATTGTATTCCATCTCCAAATGCATACTTTCAGTTATCTCTTGATTGTGGCCTTTAGACAGATAACTTGTGCTATCTTCTCCATCCTGGATACAACCAAAAGGGCAAATAACAAATTTTTTTGAACACATTCCCATAGCTGATAAATAAAATGCATTGCAGATGAACACTAAAAATGATATCGGGTAAGGCGTGTTTCTTCCTTTTCAGGATATCTTTAAGGAAAGGAAAGCTCAGACAAGATGAGAAATATAATACCTCAGAAGGTTGGGAATTTTCTGCAGAAAAATTAAGTGGTTGCGACTTTCCACCATATCGAGAACTTGAAGATCTAACTGAAGATCCAGATGCCCGTATAGGTACGGGAGAAGGAGCCACACTGTCCCAGAGAGATGCAGCAGGTCCTGTAGATATTTCAGTTCCTTGTTAATTTCATGTGGCCCCCATTAGCATAAGGACACAAATGATAGACATCTTCCATTCAAAAACAATCAGCTAAGAGATTACAGAATTTTACTGACTTACCAGCAGAATGAGGAGTATGCCCTCCCAACCATGGGGAAACCAGTCGTGCATCAGGTGACGCCCCAACTAACATTGGGGAAGGTGAAGGTTGATGGTGCCTGCTGTTATAAGAACGATTATCCCGACGAGGTGAATCTTCCCATTCCCATCTCCCATCATCCCAGTCAGATCTGCCTGCAAAATCCGCAAAGTAAATATTATTAGACTTTACAAAATCACTGTTAATAAATTAGTTATAAACACTAAGCGAATAAAATATTTTTTTTTCACTAAATGAGAAAACATCCTTTCACATAGTCCATAGCTTCACTAAGAAATAAGAAATAAATCTGGGAAACCGAAGGTTGTCTAGCCATAAGCAAAAAAGTTTTCAAAACTTTGGAAGAGTTAATAATAAAATTGGAGGGCAGAAACTTCAACGACTACTGTTTCTCTTGATTTTGGACCATGCTACGGAAGAGACTGTCCCATGGAGATTTCTATAATAAGATTCTGATTATAATTTACAAGGAAAGATCAGAAAGTTTTAAATGACAAAGTGCACTACATACCTGGAGTCCTGGAACCTTCGTATCTGTTTCGTTTTTGTCCATACTTTTCATCGTATTCCTTATCATGACTATGTGATACACCCCTATGGCTCGGCTCTTCTCTATCCGAGTAGTGGCTCCATTTTGCCTCCCTCCTTTCACTTCCAGAGTCATCCCTTCTTTGACTTCTAGACTCATCCCTGGACTTAATTCTACCTCTATCTCGGTCCACTGTCTCATACATAGAACTCTCGGATCTACAACTCCGATGTCCTCCAGTGTAAGTGGTTACAATCTTCAGTCAAGCAAGAAATTGAGGAACAAGTTATTCACTATGTGCAATGGTAATTATTACCCTCAAATAAGATTCATTAACGTTATTAAAGAGCATTTTATTTGCAAAACANAGTAAATATTATTAGACTTTACAAAATCACTGTTAATAAATTAGTTATAAATGATATGTCAACAAAGAATTTTTTTTCGCTAAATGAAAAAACATTCTTTCACACAGTACATAACTTCACTAAAAGAGAAGAAATAAATTATGAGAACTGAAGGGTTGTCTACCATATGCAAAAAAGTTTTCAAAAATTTGGAAGAGTTAGTAATAAAATTGGAAGGCAGAAACTTCAAAGACTACTGTTGCCCTTGATTTTGGACCATGCTTTGGAAGAGACTGTCCCACGAAGATTTCTATAATAAGATTCTGATTATACTCTCAGCATGGTTTCCACACCATTATGACAGTTTACAAAAAAAGATCAGAAAGTCTTAAGAGGACAATTGCACTACATACCAGGTGTCCTCCTGGAACCTTCGTATCTGTTTCGTTTTCTTCCATACTTTTCATTGTATTCCTTATCGTGACCATGTGATACACCCCTGCGGCTCTGCTCTTCTCTATCTGAGTAGTGTCTCCATTTTGCCTCCCTCCTTTCACTTCCGGAGTCATCCCTTCTTTGACTCCTAGACTCATCCCTGGACTCACTTCTACCTTTACCTCGGTCCACTGTCTCATACCTAGGACTCTCAGATCCACAACTCCGACGTCCTCCAGTGTAAGTGCCTGCAATCTTCAGTTAAGCAGGATATTGAGGAACAAGTTATTGACTATGTGCAATGGTAATTATTACCCTTATACAAGATTCATTAACATTATTAAAGAGCATTCTGTTTGCAAAACAGCGACAAAATCAAAAAGTGGAGAAGCAGCACAATAACTGAAGCACCAATGATTGACCAGATTAAGCATATTACAGCAATCCTTATTCATGACAATTTCTAAGAACAAGTGCATAGATATAGACATTGTTCCATTTAAACGATTACTTATGAGTTTGATTCAATGATTTTCAATAACGAAATAATTCAAATATAAGTTAAAAAGACCAGCTAAATTATTCAAATCAATATAAAGATGATGGCCAGAATTCTCTCTCTCTCTCACACACGCACACACTATGCACCCTATATACATACATAGCTCCAACTTACACAAGTAATGGAAGGACAGAACAAACAATTTTAATCTTTGGCATATCTTTGCACATAGACTTAGACCCGAATCTGCTTTCTCATGCTTGGTATCCCTCACATTTTACATGCATAGAGGAAGGCCATTATCTGATATAGTTCCCAGAATCCCCACTTACACAGGTAATGGAAGGACAGAACAAACAATTCTAATCTTTGGCGTATTTTTCACATAGACCCGAATCTGCTTTCTCATGCTTGGAATCCCACACATTTTACATTGTTCATTACAATATCCTGAAGTCCAATTTCAAACTTCCATCAGCTCCTCCTCTATGTTGCCATCTTAAATAAATGAAACAGAACCAATAAACACTGGTCATAGCAGTAGGATCACTAGAGCTCAGACAATACCACGCTGTATTACCACAGAGCAAAGTAGAACGGAAAACCCTTTAAAGGCCATTTGAAATAAAATCCAAACTTCTAATAAACCTAAATGATATAAAAACCATCTTCAAAATATGCACCTACANTAGCAAAGTAGAACGGACAACACTTTAAAGGCCATTTGAAATAAAATCCAAACTTCTAATAAACCTAAATGATATAAAANGAGCAAAGTAGAACGGAAAACCCTTTAAAGGCCATTTGAAATAAAATCCAAACTTCTAATAAACCTAAATGATATAAAAACCATCTTCAAAATATGCACCTACACACTATAGCAATAACAACAACAGCCAGATGAAAAAGGCCAAACTAACCTCAGAACGCATACGTGCCATTGAACGCTGCCTTGCAGGCATGTCTCCAACTTCTCCTTCTTCAGTCACTATACTTTCTGCAACATTGGGTTGGCAAGATTTGTATTAGAGAAGAGATGGGAAAATAAGTCATGCAAACAATACATTCAAGAGGGAATACTCATAACTCCAGCATATCATTGATTTTCTTAAGTTCTTTCTTTTTTCCTTTTTCTTTAGTTTTTGGTACATATGCATGTCTCTTCCTTTCCCCTAGTTTCCCCTCGGGTTGTTTTGATATATTTTTTTTCCGGTTTTGATGGGTTTTTTTTTGTTTAGGGGTGGAGTCGTTTTTTTGTTTGGGAGAAGGGGGGTGGGGGGGATCGACAGGTTAGAAGCATGTAACAGACCCTTCCATGCAATCCTAGAGAAGAAAGATAATAAGCTTGCAACACCTGGATGACATAATAAGAAACATAATGTCCAGCCCTCACATATGCATCCTGATGCATATTAAAATGGTTGCCTAGAAACACATCACCTTTCGGTGACTTCGCTGACTGAATGTACATTTAGTATCCCCTAGAGAAATGCCACACTATGATAAATGACAAAAAAAAATTACGGTTGCAATTTTCATTATGTGACGTTTACACAACTCAAACCCTACAAGACTTAGAGGGGATGCATTAAGGCTGATCGTGTTCCCATCATAAACAGGGGTTGACAAGATCTACGCATTTATCAACATATAGTGTCGCTGGCTAAGGTTTTTAATATCAACTCACTTGATATGATTAGGTCCCGAATTTGGAAGTGACCTGTGATGCAAATATGACCCACAAAACGAATGTAATTCTTGGAATTCGCCTAACCCGCATTTTGGTACTATACTCTTCATATTTTTTATTTTTCAACAAAAACATATTACACTGATTCTGTAGTGTCAAAAATATAGTGAACAGCTAATCATGTCACGTCCAGTTGGCCAACAAACTGCAATACCTATACTTCAACAAATGCAAACCTGCTTGACATTACTCAATTGCCACCTTATGCAATATAATTTAGCAATAACTTTATGTCAATGGAACCCAATGAAACTCANCAAACCCTACAAGACTTAGAGGGGATGCATTAAGGCTGATCATGTTCCCATCATAAACAGGGGTTGACAAGATCTACCCATTTATCAACATATAGTGTCGCTGGCTAAGGTTTTTAATATCAACTCACTTGATATGATTAGGTCCCGAATTTGGAAGTGACCTGTGATGCAAATATGACCCACAAAACGAATGTAATTCTTGGAATTCGCCTAACCCGCATTTTGGTACTATACTCTTCATATTTTTTATTTTTCAACAAAAACATATTACACTGATTCTGTAGTGTCAAAAATATAGTGAACAGCTAATCATGTCACGTCCAGTTGGCCAACAAACTGCAATACCTATACTTCAACAAATGCAAACCTGCTTGACATTACTCAATTGCCACCTTATGCAATATAATTTAGCAATAACTTTATGTCAATGGAACCCAATGAAACTCAACCAGCATTTTATTCCTAAGAACAAGTCAAAAAATCCATCAGATCACATGCAATATAAATGTCTGAACAAAATAAAAGTAACAAAGTAAGCACAAAAGAAAACAAAGAAGTAAGCAAAAGGATAGTGAAACAACAATTCTACTGAATAAAAAGTAATGGAACTTGCAAATCCAACACACAATCTATTAAGGGAAGGTCTCACATTGCAGTGTAGACTACCTATAGCAAAGAGGGTGCAAGAAGTCTTCCACTAAACTTCCAAACAATGCTTGCAAGAAAAAAAATGCTGTGAAAGAAGAATAACAGGCAAATAACAATTGATGAGAGTAAGAGGAGGGGGGGAAAATGCTCAGCCAGCTACGACAGGAAAGGGAGCCGGGCCAGGGCAGGGAGCAAAGAGCATCACCAGTTCATCCAGAATCCATGTTTAGAAAAAATGAACAAGAACACTGACAACCCCTCTTTTGTGTGCGGATTAGGCATTCAAAAGAAGAACCTACGATTGTAACCCTTGAAAGCCCACGTTTATGTATCAGAATCCTACTGAGTGTATATATCACATTTCCCAACAACTGACAACTTCAGAAATCCTATACAACCCCCAACACCACCAAGCCAACCAAACCCCCCCCCCCAAAAAAAAAAAATCTTTTTCTTTCCCAACGACGAAGAAATCACACATACATACCAAAGAATGAAATAGGAACACAGATATGCAAGATTTAACTGTGAATTGATTGATGTTCTCTATATCACATGAAACCAACAAAATAAAAAATAAAAAACTAAATCTACCCAAATAACTAATATAAGCTTAGAACCTTGAGGAACAGTTCAAAAAATCTATACATATTAAGCATGCCTAAGCAGTTTTTTTTGTTTTTATTTATTTATTTTTTTTTGGGCAGGGGAATCAATGTCACCCCCACACATTTGCAAAACCAACTTGGTCGTCCCCTAACATTCCACAAATGGCACAAGGACCCCTTAGTCTTAAGATGTTTTATCAGTTAGGGTCCCTCTGTCACCCGGAAAGAAGACTCCAACACAAGTGAAGCTTAAAAACCCTTATACCTCATGGAATAAAAAACGCACATGCATGCACACCATACCCATACGCATGCAAAAAAAAAAAAAATCAAATGTTAACAATCCAACTGCATTAAATTCAAGCATTTCAACAGCTTTAGTTTTAGAATGTTTGCTTAAGCAGGATAGTGTTTTATTGAACTGGAAGAACATAGATGGGGGCCGTNTGAATAAAAAGTAATGGAACTTGCAAATCCAACACACAATCTATTAAGGGAAGGTCTCACATTGCAGTGTAGACTACCTATAGCGAAGAGGGTGCAAGAAGTCTTCCACTAAACTTCCAAACAATGCTTGCAAGAAAAAAAATGCTGTGAAAGAAGAATAACAGGCAAATAACAATTGATGAGAGTAAGAGGAGGGGGGGAAAATGCTCAGCCAGCTACGACAGGAAAGGGAGCCGGGCCAGGGCAGGGAGCAAAGAGCATCACCAGTTCATCCAGAATCCATGTTTAGAAAAAATGAACAAGAACACTGACAACCCCTCTTTTGTGTGCGGATTAGGCATTCAAAAGAAGAACCTACGATTGTAACCCTTGAAAGCCCACGTTTATGTATCAGAATCCTACTGAGTGTATATATCACATTTCCCAACAACTGACAACTTCAGAAATCCTATACAACCCCCAACACCACCAAGCCAACCAAACCCCCCCCCCCAAAAAAAAAAAATCTTTTTCTTTCCCAACGACGAAGAAATCACACATACATACCAAAGAATGAAATAGGAACACAGATATGCAAGATTTAACTGTGAATTGATTGATGTTCTCTATATCACATGAAACCAACAAAATAAAAAATAAAAAACTAAATCTACCCAAATAACTAATATAAGCTTAGAACCTTGAGGAACAGTTCAAAAAATCTATACATATTAAGCATGCCTAAGCAGTTTTTTTTGTTTTTATTATTTATTTTTTTTTGGGCAGGGGAATCAATGTCACCCCCACACATTTGCAAAACCAACTTGGTCGTCCCCTAACATTCCACAAATGGCACAAGGACCCCTTAGTCTTAAGATGTTTTATCAGTTAGGGTCCCTCTGTCACCCGGAAAGAAGACTCCAACACAAGTGAAGCTTAAAAGCCCTTATACCTCATGGAATAAAAAACGCACATGCATGCACACCATACCCATACGCATGCCAAAAAAAAAAATCAAATGTTAACAATCCAACTGCATTAAATTCAAGCATTTCAACAGCTTTAGTTTTAGAATGTTTGCTTAAGCAGGATAGTGTTTTATTGAACTGGAAGAACATAGATGGGGGCCGTGCATATGGGATTTGCTGCAAACTCGGAGGAAAAACTCGTTTGTGAGTTGGAAGTCTCATTGGGTGAGCCTAGAGAGGAGGTGAGTTTGGTTTGCTGGGAGATGGGTTGCAAGAGGAGTGGTTGGGCGCAGCAGGCTGGTTCCTTTCAGAGCTCCTTTTTCGTGTTGAACTATGACATCAACTGACTAAAATTAATTCATAATAGAAAACAAATGAATACGCATATGTATTCAATTATTATTTTTTTCATTACGAGTTCATGTTACTTAATTTGGACCAAAGAAATAAGGGTAAATAAGTCATTTCCAGTCAAAAACTCTTATAGCAATCTGGTGCCATTTATGAAATGTCAAGCAGTGCTTGTGTTATTCTGACAAATGTGAGTGTGAGGAGAAGTCAATTAAATTTACCCTTTCGATGCATAATTGGAGTGGACCAGGGGGGCATACCCAGTAACCCAGCTCTATTAAAACTTGTCCTAACTACTTGGGGTACATAAATCCTCTTCCATCCAATGGGTAATTTGGCTCTTTCTGAGGCCATAAGTTACATCATATTCTACTATATCTATCCTTCCTATGTTTATCCTTTTTGACATTGATCTTTAAACACCCGTTGCATTTCCTTCTATGTGGATCATGTTACTCTTCCTTACAATAGAGTTACTAGCCTTGGTTGCATGTGGGAAAGCCATCTTAGTTAGCTCTCACATTCAACCATCTTCCAATTGTGGTTCTACCTAATTTTACAACGCACAAATACACCCTAAGAGAAGCTATAATAGTGTACAGAAAGCGTTTTGTGCATACTTCGTGTTCAAGGTTTGACATAAATTAGATACACAGCATGTTTTCTCCATTCGACCAATACTGCTACATCTAGAAACAGTTCACCAATATCACCCTTCCCTATGAATAATCAATCCCAAATAAGTATTCATCTCAAGTATCTCTCAGTATTGGATCTCCTATTTTGGGGGCAAGTCTCTTGGCATTTGTTCTCCATCAGTCTCTTAATGAAACCACATGCAAGGTAAAAAGAAATGGTTATTAAATAAGAATTCCTCATGGAAAGCCATCTTTAAAAAGAATTCACTTAACTCTCTCAGTAGTTCTTAACATAGACACATCTCAATTATACATGTCTTATGATATCAACACAAAGATAGTAAGCAAGAAAGGATTAGTAGAGCAATTGAATTGCTTCCAAAAACCCAAGTTGGGTTATCTTCACATTCTAATAAAAAAGCTAGTAAACTAGAAAGAATGAAGTATGGATGAAATACTAAAAAGAGCTGCACTGCACTATGTCTAGTATTCACTACTGCTGCTCATGACTGGTATAGCCAGAAGAATTTGGTAGAGTGGGGCACATATCAAGTTGTTATAAAATGGCATTAAGATTGACAACAGTAGGTTGCAAGAGAGAGGTTAATAAAATTTCTTCAAAAAACAATTGTGCAGAAAGAATTACATCAACCAAAAAACATTCTATTATTTTGATTTAAACAAGCCAGTTTCTATCACAAGGTAAACCAAAAACAACACCTGAATTAGATGCTTCACTCGCAAAAGGTTCACGATATTGTCTACTAGTGTAGTTGCGTGCACCACTGGATTCATCACTTCCTACTTTATCAATTCCTGAGGATGAAGACTCCTCTTCATCCAGTGATGCCACAATAGAAGCAACTTTTTCTCTTGGAACCTTGAATGCATCCTCGATCTTAGATCCTCCCCGCTTCACATCCGCAAGGACATCAAGCCCTGTTTTGATAGCCGAACATGTTGTTTTACAAGTAACATAAGAAACACAAATTGAGTATTCAGCAAGCAAGAGTATTTCCAATAAGATATAAGGAGAGGGAAAAGGATCTGATGTTAGACTTCCACATTAAAAAAAAAAGCTATGGACAACCTTGGGGGTTAAATCAGGATATATTAATCAAAATATGAGGAAACAAAAGCGATGACAAGAACCCATATAAAAACGAAGCATGTTCTTTAATCATTTTGTAGAGGTGTATGATGACAAACAGCATCTCTATAAGATAAGCATAGCTAAATTCAAGTGTCAATGGGAAAGAATAACTNAAATGGGACAACCTTGGGGGTTAAATCAGGATATATTAATCAAAATATGAGGAAACAAAAGCGATGACAAGAACCCATATAAAAACGAAGCATGTTCTTTAATCATTTTGTAGAGGTGTATGATGACAAACAGCATCTCTATAAGATAAGCATAGCTAAATTCAAGTGTCAATGGGAAAGAATAACTTTTTAGGTACTGAGAAAAATATTACATGAAAATCCATGCGTTTAAGCTTCTGCTTAATGTGGGATCAGAGTTAGCCTATTGTTCATTCCGTATCCAATTAATCATTGTGGAAGTATTTATAAAAGCCCCTACTACAAAGCTCAACCNGAGAAAAATATTACATGAAAATCCATGCGTTTAAGCTTCTGCTTAATGTGGGATCAGAGTTAGCCTATTGTTCATTCTGTATCCAATTAATCATTGTGGAAGTATTTATAAAAGCCCCTACTACAAAGCTCAACCTAAACAACAAGCCAAACTCCATTTCAGTTGGGCTAGGTTTAGCTTCTCTTGACTTGGCCGATGGTCAGATTGGGACAGAAAACTAGTAATAAATTTTCAATTTGGCTTCTACAATATCAACCTAAGTTGGATACTACACCTAGTTAACCAAATGGAAGTGCATGAAAATATGTGTAAAAGTTTGGGAGTGGAAACTAATGTAATAAATTAAAAGTTGACAGATTACAAGTTTTAAGAACATGAATACTTGCATCATGCAAATCATACCTAGAAGTGATTTCCTCTCCGGAGCTTTGAACACTACTCTATCCTTTCCAGGAATATATAAACCCCCGCCACTAATGTTATCAGGTTCCAATGTTGCCGTTGTCTTGTCTAGGTCAATTGGTCCACTATTCTGCCCTTGTTTCTGAACATTACAAAACAAATTAAAGCATGATTATCGCCAAGCATGCCCAAAATAAAACCTGAATAACATATTGAAAACCCCAACTACACTACTATACTTATTTTTCAGAGAAGATAAACATTGAAAAATTGAGACTGACCTCCATGTTGGTTTTATTAAAATATAGCACAACAGTATCCCTTTATTACTGAACCTGCAACTATGAGGAATAAAAGATTTCATCAATTCTATTTCAAGACATACATGTTTTGTCCAAATTCATTGAACAAAGGCAAATAACTCAAGATATAAGCAGGCAAATGTTTATCAATGCACAAGCACAAATATTAGTTTTGGATAAATATGTGCACATCCAAATAAAATGATGATTGATGAATTATGGATTTCCTCAACAACATGAAACCCCAACAAGATACAAAGAAAAAGATGCAAAGCAAGGAATGTCTGCACGATCCCATGGCACAAACTCATTCTCTCAGACAATAGCATAGCTGTCCATTCTTATCCTTCCAAACACACCCAAAAACCGACCGATCTCTATAGCGTTTCCCAACAAACATACCCAAACTACCAAAAGTGAATGTGGAAAAACCATTTCAAAAGAGACTGTGGAAGGGTTCCTTGCAATTTTATTAAGGTTAACATTTTCTTGGGCAGATAGAGTTACCAATTGCTCTTCCAGGGGAAAGCACAAACCTAAGATATGAATTGTATCTTAGAAAGTAATTCTAGCAATTTTTTTCAAGCAGTAATTCTAGACCAAGTTGTATTAATGATATAATTCTTAAGTTTCTGTATACAAGACCAACTTAGGTTGCAAATTCCCAAATTCAGAGATTCCACAAATTTCAAGATTAACATATACCCCCACAATTCTACCCCAGACCAGGATTTAGGCAAATAAAAATCAACCTCATTACAAACCAATTGATGTCCAAAAAAAAAAGAACACTGGTGAAGCCAATTAAACAATACAATGATTCAGAATATACAACGGTGATCAAAATATGATATCTAAATCATTACTTGCAGCGAAATCATAATAGCTCAAGTATTCTTCAACTCTTAATCTTTGCTCTTCTTAAAAAGAACAATACACGCCCATATTCCGAATTTTATTGGTAAACAACAGGTTTTTTTCACACAGTACTCAGTACCCAGTACCCACGGCACACACTCACTCACAAAGCACAGGTCGCACGCACATAGAACCCACAGACGCAACCAATAACATGAGGGTCTGGGACTTGGGTTCAGTCAGAGACTTATAGTTTTTGTGAAGAAATTGTTTAACGTTCGGCTCTTGCAGTCTCTAAAAGATCTCTCCTTGTTCGTTTTTATGGGGATGTCGCTTGTCGTCATCTTCACTTACTAGGGCTTAACTGAGGACTATAAGTCGGTGGGGTCGGGGCAAGCGGTGCTAATTGAGAGAACACCTTTTGTCTATTAAAAATGGAACGAACCCACTTTTTGCCCCAATAAACACAACTTTCTCCTAACTTCTCCCGCAAAACATGTACAGATGAAAACAAACAATAATGGCATTTGGACATAATTTGTTGATTTAATTTATTACAACCACTGGATTAGTTGTGGATCGCCACAAATATTAGGGTCCACTGTCAATCAATCAGCAAATTAAGTTAGTAAATTAGGTCCAAAAAAATTATTCAAAAACAAAACAGAATTAGCGAAGGCGTTTTTTTCACAGACTTCGAAACTAGTCTTCCTCTCTTGGGATTATTTTGGATTTTGGGAATCTACCTGTACTTTTTTATTGGTAGTTATCCATCTAAAATATATTCATATTTTTTTATAACTTGTATTCCAATTTTAGTTACTAGAAATGAACTCGTGTCTAAAGACACTATATAACACAAAAAGATCTTCAATTAGAAAGCTGAACCCAATCAATTACCAATTTACAGTAATGTTTTCCGACTATATCACCCTATTCTAATCAGAACCAATAATTGACTTACCACGTTCAGGAGGTAAAATAAAGTATGAAATAATAAAGGAAAAACTCACCAGATCATTCCATCCACTAGGAATAAAAAGATTCATGTGTTCTTGAGTGCCATAAAGTTTATTTCTCTGATACAAACACATCAACAAATTCAATGGACAATTGATACTTCAAACAATCTCTTGTGCTACAGCATTCAATAGGCAACTCCCACCTTAAGGGCTCCATTAATTTATCACACTCTCAATCCCGGTTGGTCTTCATAATTTCCAAAGCCCAAAAACTATGAATCGTAAACAAAAAAACCGAACCCACTTGAAAACCAACAAACATTCGTAGCAAACAACAAAATACTGTCAAACATTAAAGTTAGTAGAATTTAGCAAATCCACAAACAAAAGTATAAGACAAAATCCACAACAAACATACCAACCCATGAAAATAAATTAACCAAAAAAAAAAAAATATCTGTTTTAGCGCTAAAAAAATCAGAAAAATCAAAGATCAAATTGGTACCTTTGGGGATATGGATTGAGCTCTGAGCTTCGGCTGCGCTGGTAGCATTTTCAAGAAACAAAATAAATCTGATCAAAAGTCTGTATACCTATAAAGAAAGTTTGATTCAACTCAACATAAACATTCAATTCAATTGAAGAATTAAGGGTTTGATTGGTGGGTGGAGTTCTTGTGGTGGCTATGGGGTGTTCAATGGGTGACGTGATTTGGCAGTGGTTGGTAGCCAAAAAGACAATGGGAAAGAGAAGGTTACAAGCGTTGGCGGTGGCTGATTGCGGCTCTTTGAGAAATTTCGTTAAACATGTGGTAGCTGCAATTGGTAACCAGTGAGAGCTAAGCGCACCGAACCAAACCTGGCCGCTTTGTCCCCAAAAGACCCGCGATCGATTTCTCATACGTGCGTGTGGGTGGGAAAGGGGGGCGCCGATTTTGGGTGTTTGTCCAGTGAATGCATGTGTGTGTGTGTGTGTGTCTATTTTGGGTGGGGTTATGTGTGTTTCGATTTTGGGTGTGTGCGCGTGTCTCGAATATCTGTGTGTGCGCGCTGCAGGGGCGAAGGGGGTTTCTAGGTTGCTGGGGGTTTTCGGTGGGGCTTTTGCGAAGGCATGTTTCTAGGATGGGGAGGGGCNCACTGTCAAACATTAAAGTTAGTAGAATTTAGCAAATCCACAAACAACATTTTCTAGGTTGCTGGGGGTTTTCGGTGGGGCTTTTGCGAAGGCATGTTTCTAGGATGGGGAGGGGCTTTCGGGTGGGGGTGTTTCCTGTGTTGAGAGAGAGAGTGAGTGCCAGGAAAAGAGAAGCAGAGATAGAGAGGAGGGAAACCTGGCGATGGCGTTGGCGTTGGCGTAGGCGTTGGCGTTGGCGTTGGCGTAGGCGTTGGCGTAGGCGTTGGCGTAGGCGACGGCTGGTTCTTCGCTGGCGGTGGCCTGGCGTTGAGGCGGTGAGCCGTATTGACAGAAAGGGAGAGAGACGTATTGTTGGAAGGAGTGAATGGCGCCTGCTTTGATCCGACGAGAGAGGGCATATCGACCAAACTTCAACTAGTAAAAAAATAAATAATAAATTCAAATTTAAAAAAAGATAAATTTAAATTTAAAGAAATGTAAAATATAGATCTTTTAAACGAATAAAATTTGATCATCGAAGATTTAAGTAAAAATTTGAATCTCTCATTATTTGGTATAGATTTAAGTAAGCTTATTTTTAGTTTATTTTTACTCAAATTTAAATTTAAAATTAAATTACATTGACACTCCTAGACATTTAAAAATAACACCGAACTTCATCGCATTTTAAAAATAACACCGAACTTGACATTTAATATTTGTAACAATCATACCTCCTCTAACTAACGGATGTTAGAATTATTCACAGTCAAACCTGATATCATCAACAATGATTCCTAGAATACCAAAAATATCATTCAAATTATGTTTAAGAATTCAAATAAATATTTTTCTTACCTTACAAATTTACTCAACCTTTCATTTATTTTTCGTTAATCTATATATTTCATATATAAATTAAAATTTAAAATTTAACTGAAATGTTTAATTTTTTAATCTATTACATTAATAAGTTAATTTTTAAATTTTTTTTGTTTTTTAAATAATTTTTGGGATTATTAGTACAGTTTTAAAAATTAATTATTTTTTAAATCTTAATAATTATCTATCCAATTATACAATATTAATTTTATTTTTATTTCTTATTTATCTAATTACATAATTTTTACTCCTACCACCCATCACCACCGGTTCCCACCCATTACCACTGGTTCCACCACTTATACCCACCAAAACTTCCAAACCCAACCAGATCCACCACCACCATAGAGAGTGAGAGAGATAAGAGACTAAAAGCACAATCCATTGAAACCACTCATGCCTCTGCCATCACTGAAACCACCATTTGGACCAAACCCATCATCAACCAACACCACTACATCGCAAAGATTAGGTTTTCAAAATCCACTTGCAACCACCACTTGCAAAATTCACTCATTACCACTCGCTCCACCATTTAGGGTATCGATCACAGAGAGACGGAGATCATAAACCCTAGGTAAAGATTCATTCGTTGCATCGTTGGTTGTTGGTGAAAATAGGCGGTGATGGGTGGGTGGATGGATTTTGAAGCCTAACGAATGTGGGTGTTGGTGAAAATAGGCGGTGATGGTTGCACCGCTGTGTGTTGACACCTACTATTAGGGGGGGTTTGATACATCTTGAGAGAGAGAGATTTTAGGGGCTTTGATTCGTTGTGAGAGAGAATGTGTGGGGTGGGGGGGAGAGGGTCAGCTTTTAGAGGAGGGGTCTTGGGTCTTAGGTTTTAATGAGTAATTAAGGTGAGGGTGAAATGACCATTTTTTTGTGCCATTAACGGTATTCATGTTGTGGGGTCTCAGTGTAATTTTAAAAACGTGAGGGAGTATCCGTATAATAAAATCAAATTTTAGAGAGTATCAGTGTAATTTATCCGAAATTTAAATATCTAAGTCAACTAGGAGTTAGGACACCCGTAAACAAAGAAAAAGAAAAAGAAAGAAAGAATTACACTTGGACCCCTAAGATTTATCGTTTAATCACTTAAACCCTTGATATTTGAAATATTATATACAAACTCCCTAAAATTGGTATGCGCATAACATAGAATAT